TGAGTTTATTTTACTGCTTGGAGATTTTCCACGCATTCAATGATCACATGGACCATTTAAATGGTCTGTTATGTGATTCAGCTTTGGACCAAATGATAAATATATTTCATGTGAGACGAAGGTTGTGCTGCCAGAGCAGCTTAGAAATATACGCTGTGTCTCAATTCAGGGTCTGCATCCTTCGAAGGACCCAGCCTACTCGACCGACGTGGGCTGAGTCCTCCGTCGGCCGGGTAGACCGGATGTTAACGGCTGTGAAATTGGACAGGCCTAGCCTTCATGAATTCCCGCCACTCCCTCGGCGAACGTTCCGTCGCCTAGCAACCGTGGAACCGCTGAGCAGATGGGAGAAGGAACTTTAAACGATGGAGCTCAAAGTTTTATTTAGCTTTTTGATCATTTCCTTGACCGTTGGAGAGCTAATTCAGAGAAAATACTTTTGGCAAGCTGAGCCTAGCTAAGATGTGATAATAGTTTTTAATACTTTCTAAGGGTCTTAATTTGACCAAAACCGATGTATCACCTTTTAAGACTTTTCAAGACCCAGCGGATACCCTGTAATATTCATTTGTAAACAAAAATAAAATTCAAGAGTTTATTACAGAACTGATTTTATTTAGATCTTTCTTTTATATGTACATGTTTAATCTTTCTTTACGTTTTTTTCTAGCAAAATAAAAAGCCTGTCGAAATTCTCCCTTCTCTCCTGGGCCCTCTGCTGCTCTGCCTCCCTCTGCAGCCTCATGTCCTCCCTGATCAGCTCCAGAAGCTGGTCATCGCTGTCACCTTCCCCCGGATGCCCATTTTCTCCAGAATAGTCCCAATAAACATGTAAGAAAAAAACAGGAAGAGAAAAGAGGACAACGGGTTATTCCGTTCTTGTATTCGCAGAAAAAACTAAACTCAAACGACAGTTTTTAAAAGATGACATGTTATTGTACCTCCATGCCACAGCCGCCAAACACTTTGCTCCAGTGATCATGTGGTCCATCTCTGCCCTAAGCTTAATAAAGTCCGTAGTTTTCTCTTTTGTCCATAAAATACAAACTTCTATTAAAATCGGGGAAAACGTGGCGGGAGAAGTACGACACCGAGCGGCCGAACATACGAGCCGAGACCGCAATACAAGCACTTTTACTGTAACATTTCAAACTAAAATAACGTTCATGTATCACAAAAAGCCCTTAACCTAACAGTTTTCAAGTTTACACTGACATTTATATGCGCAATCCTCTCCGACAGCTCCCGCTTCACTGTCCACCATTGTTTTTAAAAGTTCTGCCATCCGGCCCGCAAGGCATCTTGGGAAATGTAAACCAATGAAGGATACACGGACCCATCCTCCTTGCAGGCGAAAAGGACGCCGGATTCTTAGACCGCATTTGAAGGAGTGTTCGAATTGGGACAGGCCTAGTCACGGCACTGTGACGTAGCCGGCCGACGAAGGATGCAGACCCTGAATTGAGACACAGACATAGCTGTCCTCTTTTACTTTAGTTTTACTATTGCTGCATTTTACCCTGATATATTTTGAATTAGAAGATGGCCAATGAATTGATGATGTGACAGCATTTGAAGTTTAAATGCCTGATGTGTGTAACGTCCAGCAATGGTCAGTTTTTAGGTACAGTTTGACCATTCAACATCTGGTCAAAAAGGAGACACGAGACTGCATGTGTTCCCTTTAAATCAGCCTGCCTTCCTCACACCAGCTGGAGCTCAGAGCCTCTCTGCAGCTCTGAACACAAATAACGAATTGTCAACAATAATGTTCTCTCCTCAAGGTCCAAGCTTCCCTTATCATCCTACAGGACTCTTCATGCCTTTGAATAAGGAACACTCACAGCTCGGACCAGTTGCTAAATCAAAGAATGATTTCCTAAATTAAATATGAACTTCTAAAACTTATAAGCTAAATAATCATTAAATAAACATTTATTGCTACTTATAATAATTATAATGAAATGTTTTCATTAATCTGTGCTCAATGATTGAAGTTTGAACTGAATGTTATGTTATGATTACAGTGATTGACACATTTTTCAGCATGTTTACATGACAAGGTCATCACCATTAGCACTCACACAAGAACAAAGTAAGGTTAAGTTAATCTCATGACACATAAATAGCCTTTTACCCCAGATCAGAGCCTCCGGATAGAGGAAGGCGTTTGTTACGTCCTGGCTATGCTAGGAAGGTAAGGAGGTAACATAAACCCGTGACCAGATGGAATGGGAGGAGTACATGCATTTAATAAAGAAAAACAGCGAATAAAATAAACTTGCAATATACAGATGAATACTAACAGAGACAAACCTTACTAAACAAACAGGGCATTCACAATATTAACTTAAAGCTCTCATAGTTGTGAATATACCAGACAAAGAACACAGGCTCAGAAGGACTTCAACTGAAAGAGGCAATAGCATTTACTATCCCTAAATCCAACCAGAGGAGCTTTAACTCTACAGCTTTAACTCTACACACACCACCTTTAGGT